TGTTTCAACACCAGGAAACATGCCAGGGCTTAATTTAATACAGAAGACTACTTTTAAAGTATTCTGTGTTATTATAATTGATGTCTGTCTACAACAATTTATTCTAGTTGCTGGCAAATTAGAGACGATTTTCTGACGGCAATCTGGTATACTAATACTTGGCATTTAAGAAGACATAGTTCATAAGAAGCAACATTTTTGCTCTGAACACCCAATTATAAGATTAGTACATGAAGTAGGTCTAATATTTAAGAGATCTGTAACAGCAATGTCTATGCTGTGTAATATCTCCTAATATTATGTGTCGCTTTAGTATTCGTAACGTGAATAAATAAACGGTTAACTACAAGCAGAACCGTTAAAATCCTTGCAGTTAATTAAATTTCGCTCTAATTACATGTCCATTTCAGGTCCCAGTATGTACATTGTTAAACGAACAGAATGCAAAACATTCTGGTTACAAAAACAAGTATCTTGATTAACAGGGAGCTACTAATACAATACTGTGACGAGAAATTCGATGCGACGTCACTATTCTTGTTGACTATCGGCGCAGGGAGTTAACTAACAAATTGTTTACGTTTTTCACTTCGGATTAACAATTATTTCACCATCAATAATTAAACTATTCAATGGAAAGAAAAATATCATAAATGTAAATAGAATTGCTTTTCGTCTGATACTTTGGGCATAACTAACTTTATATCCGTCGTTAGGAGTCTTTGACAAAAATTGTTCCAAATGTTTATAAATCAAGCAAATGCTATGTAAGTTAATATTTTTAGAGTTTTACTTTCAAGGAAAAGAAACCGAGCCGATTATGTTGAAATAATTTTGTTGTGGATATTAAAGGAATATAAGAATACATATTTTTAAATATATTCTTATACCTACTTTCCAGCACCAATGCAAAATTAAAATTTTTTCAAAGCTAGAAACATATATTTCATGTCAATTATAAATATTATTATCATAATCAGCAGCAATATTCTTTATGTTGTCAACATATTGTTTGTTAAGTATAAGTATTCCTACACATATTTAGGATTTGTTATGAATACAACGACGGATAAGCCAAAGGTTACTGTTGATATTATAGTACGTTTTGACAAATTAAGCAACGCAGTTAAGAAATATATATTTTTTCCCACTTCATCGTCTTGCTTCTAAATCTTCGTTTCAATGACCCAAGTTTCTTAAGTTCACCAGAAAAAAATTATTTTATTAAGTCTTTAGCTATTCTTGTACTTCTTCGTTCCATCGCTGATGCTTATTTTGCATACAATTAGATCGAAGCTGCTACGTTCTTTATAAACTCATTTATCCCGTTCTTATGATAACCTCGACGACTTTACAGTCGTCGATGTAAGACCAGAACGCGCATCAGTAAAAATTATCCGCTGTATTTAGGATCTTTTAACCCATTTGGAAAAAACCCTGTAAATCATAAAGTCATTATCACACTGGAGTGTTATTTCAAATAAATTCCACAAACACGCTCAGTCACAGTATTATTACCAACCAACTACAGACAAATGTCCCTACTCTTTGGTATTTCAAATTTAATAATACACCCTGGACTGTTATTATTACTGTTGTTAATTTTGAAACCACTATCACTACCAAATTGCCTCGAGAGTTTTTAGCTTTGTTTCGCCCTCAGTCACTTTGTCTTCGTAAGTGTGGACGGTTTCTCGAGCAGCGATCATCGGTTCGAAGGTTTCGCTGCAGTACTGACAGAACTGTCTGTACACACCGAAGAGGTAGAATTAATGTTACAAACAACAGCTTTTGTAAAGAAATCTGCAATTTTGTGTAATATTATGAAGTCCATAATGGCTGAAAAGTATTATAATGAACTAAATCATAATGCAACCTGCTCGTTGTCTTCAGTGCTTTCAAAACAGATTCTGTTCTTGTGTTTGAGCATGCGTTCGCTAGTGGATCCACCTGGTGATGACTGAAATAGACAGCCAGTTAATTCTTCAAGCTATTAGTACGTCTAATTCAAAATAGTATAGGCGTAGAAGATGCCTTAAGGTAATTTTCGCCGAGGAACTTTGGTACGCGTCAAGAAAGTTTACTCACCCAAGATAAAATCGGCGTACCTGTCAACCGGAGGCAAGACACGGAATATTCGTTATCACTCCGTGGTTAAAAGTTCTTCAGGTACCCCCGGGTTTGGACGAGAAGAAACTACAACTTCTGATCCGTGATATGGTTCAAACATGACGCAGTTCAATTGCCACCATCGAAGGTTGGAAGCGAACTCTAAACGGATGCTGAAACTTAGTTATGTTTAATTTGTACAGCCCACAGGACATGAAAGTGATACCATTGATTTTCTACAAACTGTATCATTCGAAAGTACCCATTGATTTTCTACAAACTGTATCATTTGAAAATGTAGGAGAAATCTACTTGTATTGCTAAATCTAGTCACATTTACTCTACCCACTGAAGAGTTGAGAGGAGGATACTGTGGAAAATATTTGGGCCTATGATTTAGAAGAATCAAAGGCAGGAGAAAATTTCATAATGACGGCTTCATAATTTGTACTGTTCACCAGACAGGTCTATTATGAAGGTTAAGAGATCAAGGATAATGAGAAGGGCGAAATATGTATCACACATGGAGAAAATAAAAATACACACAGAATTAATTCGGAGGGCATGTTTCAAATAAGTGTCATTTCAGAGTGTGAAATAGTTACTTCTGGTTTAGGGTTTTGTCTAGTGGTTAGCTCATGTGAACACGGTAAATATTATTCTTGTTCCATAAATACTGAGTAATTTGTTGACCTGAGGACTGAATTTTAGTTCTGTAAGATAGACTTTTCTCCATCTAGTTAGTCTGTATGAAATACTTTGAAATGTTTTGAGTGAAGGAAATGTTATTAACTGAAGAATTAAGAAGTTGATTTATACATAAATTTCTAGCAAGAATTAATTTGTTCGTACTTACAAAAGAAAAATAATTGGAAATACAACTTCTGAAATGTTGTAAACCTATGATTCCATTAAGGACAATAACCGGCGTTCATTATATATGTATGTTGTCTATTAACCTGTGACCTGCGTATGCTCTAACTTTACCTTCTGAACGAAATTACTAATTACGATTGAATTAGTTTAAAAATAAGATACCTATTAAAAGTCCCTGACTACTTCCACACTATTTATGCACGAACAATACTGCTGTCATTAACTAGAGAAGTAAGATATTTCGTTTGACAGGTACTTAAGACACAGCGAAATATATATACAAATAAATTGTTTAGTGATAAGGATCTGTAGCTTAGTCATACGATTTCGGAGGTATATAAAATGGATTACAGGAGATGTGTTCGTGTTTATTTCTTTCTCTTTAAAATTTTATGGTTTTCTAAAACTTTCCAAGCAATTGTTTAGATAGAAGGTGAGAGAAACCACCTTTTCTTCCTCCCTAGAAAGTCATTTATCACCAAGCTACCATCGATCACCATCAAAGCTAATGAGTGAAATATTAACCCGTGCCTGCACGAGCTAGCACAAAACAGATCCAAACTGATCTACCCTTCTCTAACATTCAAGCACATAAGATTTTTGGATTAGTTTTTGAAGCGAAAGGAACTTACAAATAGATGAACAGCGTGTGTCATTATATGTTCAAGAAGAAAAATAAAGATCACTATTAGACGCCAGTAAGAATGTTAGACTACAAGTAAATGTAGATAATTCCATGTAAGATACTGGTCTTTTCATATCTCAAAAATTCAGGGGAAAAAACAGACTCGTGACAAATCTTTTAACAACGTGTAAAATTTAGCTTATTTAGGAGCCACTGTGAAATATTAAAAATCACATTCATGAACAGATTAAAAATGTTTTAAATTCGGTAAATATTTTTCTTACATTCTGTTATCCAAACACAAAACTAATAAATACAGAAAAAATAGTCTAATATGTGTGATTTGAAGTTTTTACAATGGTGAGTATGAAGATTTTTGTCTTCTGGGTTGTTGCGCCGTGCAGTATGGTAGATATCGCCCTGATGACGGCAGTATGACCTCTGAAAAGTTGGTAAACATCGACCAGACTACACAGCGCAACAACCCAGAAGACAGAAATGTTCAAGAATCTAATAGTGTGTATTTTTTCGTATGGGTGTGAAGAAAACTATCTTTCACAGTACAGGAACAGAGTCTGTTTGAAAATAGTACAAGGTTGGAGAAGGCTGCAAATAAGACACTTCATAATTTGTAGATCCTGAAGGGTTCTGACGATGGTGTAATACAATATGAATTATTGCATTCTTGGACCTTGTCTATCGTTTGATGTTATAAAACACAGCGTCCAAAAACCTAACAATCAAGTTTGTAATTTGCAGCCATAAAATATTAACAGGATTATGAAACCAAAAGAGTATGAAAATGACTGGGCACGTACGATGAGATATATGAGAATGTTGCTCGGATAACCTGAAACAAAAACCTAGACGTATAGGAATATTAAAATAAATCTTAAAGAAATGGGTGGGGATTCATGGGAATTCGATTGATGAAATTCTAATCTAAAAATAATTTATCTGTTAGTTCTGTTTCCGAGACGATAAAAATATTGAGAATTGATTTTCTGGAAATTGAAGAACACAGAATTGAACAGATTACTTAATTTTTAGCTCTATAACATTGTGTTATATAACAATAGGGTTTGCTACAATTAAAATATTACTTATTAATAATGTCATAGAAACGTCATCACACAGAAAAATTCTTACAAAAATACTCATTGCATATATTATCTGAGGTAGTAACTGCTTGAAATTAGTCTGAGTCCTACGTAAGAACCAAACAATCCCAAATTCCCGCGTTTTTTTAAAAATTAAGGTTTTGTACTGTTTTTACAAGTGCTAGTTATAGCCTTTGTCCTCAGTTAGACAGACCTTTAAACATTCATGTTTTACAGAGTGGTATAAATAATTCAGGATATACTTGCAATGAAAGGCGTATGTTTCTTCCTACTATTTTGTATTCAGTTAATTACTTTTTATGTCTTCTCTTACAAATATATTTGCAAGCACATACATAAATACGCTTGTTCTTGCAGCCAGACAACACTAACAAAGAACCAAGCTGTATTTATTTACGATCCTCTTTAACGCTGTCTTCCTATTTGCACCGACATCTCCTAAGTCCTTGCAGGTCTTCCGATATAGTACGTGCTAATTTATCATCTCTATCATGGCTGCTGCATGATTACCTATTTTTTTATTTAGTGTTCTGTCTGACGACAGGTCCATATGAACAGGATCCTTCCATCCTTTTCTAGGACTGGGACCTGTTCATATACGTTCTTGGCAGATGATCCAGAAGTGGTTTGCCATTGCCTTCTTCTGTGTGTGAATGGAGTAATTGTTGGGATGCCACGGAGGAAAACTCCGTGTTGCCTAGACCACGGCCTTGCCAAACACAAGTTATAAATTCGGGCACCACCGGGAATCGAACCCGGGACCCCAGGATTACAAGGCCAGCGTTCTAACCGCTAGACCTATATTCAAAGAAAAATACCACTGTGGTTAAAAATTAATGGGATCGGCTACTCTGCACTGTACAATTAAAAAGAACAGAGAAAACTACAATTCCAAATAATACTGTAATTTTTGTTTCGTCATGTAGCCCGTTCTCGTCTAAAACTAGGATCCAAAATACCTTAAAAACACTTTCGTCCGTTTTATTCCCGCAATCCGGAGTCATCTTCACGGTGTGCAAACATAGTAGATTAAACAAAACTGCTCAAGTTTCTGGTAGACGGACGGGCGGACGGATTGTGTAGAATCTTTACGAATTCCGTTTTCTTTGTGAGACACCGCTTTCCCTCTCAGAAACCTTTCATCCCCTACGAAAATAAAGTACGTGGAACAATGGTGGAATTAAAATCACTAAAATAACCTGAATAAAGCTCAGTTCTTGACAGTTGTGACCCTTTCACCTACCAACCTGCCTACCTTTTATTTCCCTTCGTGTTATTTGTTCATCTGCATGGACTTATTTGACTGTCAACGCGAATGCTGAATGTTTGATTATAAAAAGTACGTACGGTACTGGCATTAGCTATTGTGTCTAATAAAAGCATTATTTTGCGTTTGTATACTTCGCGTTACGAAGTTCAATTGTTAAAATTCAATGTGACTTATTGTTACATTTAGAGGCATGAATTCCTTTAAACTTTTGTCATTTAAAAATATAATTTTTCTGTTGTGAACGATTAACTCTTTTATATATTAATTATAAATGTATAAATGCAACATAATCGACTATGAGAAATAATTATTAACCATTCCAAGAAACGACAGAACGTGTGATTATTACTCGTTCTTTGGGAGATCGCGGGTTCAAATCTGGGCCCGGAGTCCGGCTATACTGAATGAGGGTTTTTGTGGTTTTCCTCAGTCCCTGTAGGCAAATTCTGGCATAATATCTTAAATTAGGCCACGACCGTGTCCTTTCACATCCTCTTCAATTCGTTATTCACTGTCTTAAATTAGGCCACGACCGTGTCCTTCCACATTCTCTTCAATTCGTTATTCACTGCAATACTCTCAATTGATGCTATATAATCTGAGTTACTGAAAAATCATCAATAAATAAACTAAAAAAATTAAAAATTTCTGGGAAAAAAGGAAAAAATCTATTCTGTTTTTGATATACTTAAATTTATTATTCTTTATCTGAAATTTAGGACACCTACGTTAACTGGTAATTAATATAACCATATATTTCGTACAGTATTATTATCCAAAATTAAAATTATTGCTACATGATAGTAAGTTGTTAATGAAATAATGGAAGAACGTTTGAGTTTTATTTCTGGGTTTCCCAGTTTATTTTTATTTAAAGGATATTTGTTTATCCTCAACCCTGGGCATGTTTGGCCAGTCTTCGTCACTGAAAGTATTTAATCTTCATGGCATTCCAGCACACAGCTGAACCAGAAAGTTAAATAGGATGATGAAAGTGTCATCCAATATTCATGCAGTTCGGCGACTGTCATATTCGCAGCCACAGATTAAACGCTTTAATTGAAATTTTATCCTCAAAACATAAACATGCAGTGCCGACACATTGAAATACATTTTTAATTGTTTTGTTAAAACTTAGGAATATTATAAATAAAATGCTTGTAGATTAAATAAGCTCGGACAGTGACAAGATTTTAATGGAATAGGTGAATAGAGAAATAAACTAATATGCTTATGAGTTGGATTTGTTTCTGATTTGTATTTAGTACGTATTTAGGAGGAGCCTCGGCTTCAAAGGGTTAAGATCCTTACTGTTAACAATATTATTATATCCTGTGTTAGTTACAGCCCTTCAATTAAAACCGGTCCTTTTGCTAGATTGCCAATCCTTAAATTATCCATTGTAACAATTTTTATTAACATAGTACAAATGGAACACAACACATAAAATCAATGCTTCAAGTAGCATTATAATCCACCGTCTCCTAGTATCGTGTTATTATAATATCGTTCAGAGTCCAATACCAAGCCGTCACTGTGATAGACAGATTTATATTTTATGTTTAAATTATACTTACAAATTTACGCGTGAATAAAATCTTTATGAGAAGACATAGACACACTGTTTGAGCATCATCTGCGAAAGAAACTGTCAATTCTTTATAACACAGCACGCATTCAGTAAGAGCAAAATTTGTCGCACGTCCAAACGATGTTGAAGGTCCAATGCTGCAGCATATCAAAATTAACTATTGCAACAGAAGCTGCAATTCCGTCCTTCAAATCGTTGGTGTCGGCTACCCTTGTTCGGTACAAGCAGTATCTTACGTATCCGCATGGGAGAAAATCAAAGGATGAAATATCCGATAAATGCTGAATGTCACAGTCGCTTCGGCAAAGAAAAAAGTTGTCAGTGGAACCAAGGTTCCTGAGAATTTGACGTAAATACGTCTATACGGAAAGGAAGTTTATATATTGGCTTTATTCTAAATATTTCCTTTACACATGCTTTACAATTGAGTAAAGTTTGATTAAGACATTGCTTATTTAACTTGAATTAGTTACGCTTAAGATGGCTCTGTGGTAGCTGAATGTAATGTAATGTAACGTTTCCTAGGTAACAACAAAGCTAAGTAAACAGACGACGTTCCCTAGGTAACCATTGTTACACTTTTTCGTTCCCCTTTTTCGTTACACTTTTTTGCTGAATGACCCTTCCTTAAAGACGTATTTACGTCAAAAATGTCAGATTAAAAGGTCGTGTAACATGCCACACCACACATTAACTTTGGGGCTGTCTCTAATGTGCTCCACTGTATCATGATTGTGTTCTGGTCGTCAAATGTATATGTCTTGTTCCCCTCCCCCCTGAATTTTAGTATACACCCTTATCGGAAAACATGATTTTCCTCAGGAATTTTTTATCTTCAAGCATAGTCACTGCAAAGCCTTTGCTGCAGCTGCAGGTCGTGTCGACATCGTGGACTGCGGACAAAGATCTTGCGCAACCTTTCGACATTTTTATCAGACACACGTGGACTCCCTGTAACTTTCTTGTGCAGAACACTTCCGGTATCCCTAAACTGTTTGTACCCGATTTCGTTTAGATAAACCAGTCCGCGCATTGTACCTTATACGGATTCATGACGACTGATCTGATTCACAAAGATGGGTGCAGTGCAGCGGGAAACAACGGATGCTATCATCGGAAAATTGGTGAAACTTTGAGAGTTTCTCTGGCAGGTGACGATCAAAAAGTGTCTTTACACAAAAATTTTGTTCTCTGGTGAAGTTGTAAAGATAATTTATGTACTTCCTGTACTTATAGTCTCATTATTTCTCAAGTACCAAATATGGACACTACATTAGCAAAACAATATGCAAGAAAGCTTTGTCCGTACAATGTTTGAGATGTGTATCACTGAAATTTTCTGAACGAGTAGTCCAATTTCATTCAGATGTTACAGTTAACAGATTGACAGGCAAACATGTTTCACCATGACAACACACTGTTAGACCAGCAGTAGATTGTTATTATTGCCATGTTAATGTATTTCAAATTTCGTTCGTGTTGTACCGACATTCGTAATTTAAATATCAATATTGCAATTTCATTCATCAAACAAAACTGTCATGTTCATTGAACCGATAAGCGTAGTCTTGTGTATTAGATCAACGTTGCGGATATAGTACTACGAACTATGATATTTAGTTTCAGTTTAATTGTGATGTAAACGGGCAATGAGTTAGTGTGACCGCAGTGGGGCACGTCACATGGCACACAGCTGTGTTGTGGTCGCGATTCGAACGGGGATGAACCAACTCGGGCACAAACGGACCGCCTGGTCGCTCCTTTTTTCTTTCTTGTTCTCTCGAAAACCACGGTTTAATATTGTGCATTAATGCAGAACAAACTATTGAGTGTGGTCTGCAGCTCCACTGAGTAAGATCTACAATTCCGGTACGCCAAGGAGGAGACAAAACCTGTTATTAGTCCTCAGTTCTCTGTCGTATGCCCCCCCTTAATTTTTAATTATAACAAAATTTCGTTTTTCTTAATTCTCACCATTTCCACGTTTTCGCCAGCCTTAAAAAATAAGTATGAAGCGGCGGATGAAATACGGGAGGGAAAAATGCCGAGTTAAATGAAAGGAAATTAGGCCTGTGATGGAATGAACGAAGCAGAAGAATGATGTGCAAAGACAATGAAAAGATGAAGCCAATGACGAAAAACTGATAAAGAAGGAGGTAAAGGAAGTGAAGAAAGGGAACTAAAATGAGGAACAAAATTAATTAAGGCTTTAAGGAAGGACGAATAGACCGAGATAAAGAACGTAAGAATGTAAAATGGAATTAATAAACAGAGAGAAATATAACAGAAGAAAATTAGAGGCAAAAGAAGACACAGAAAAGAAACAAGGAAAGAGGAAGGTTTTACGCTGAAGAAAGACAGTGGCATAAATTATAGGTCGGAAAAAGAAATTAAGATGGGAAGAAATGAAAAATATTTTTTTATTTACTTCGTAGTTCGTTAGTTTCGCATTCGTACATAATTCTCGATTGTAACCGGGATGTTCTTCTGATTTTAATTTTGACGTAAATACGTCTATATTTTAGGGTCAGTGTCATTCGGCAAAAAGTGAAAGAAAAAGTGAAAGGAAAAAGTGTAACTACATTGTTATGTTACCTTGGAAACGTCAATTGTTTACTCGGCATTGCTGTTACCTATAAAACATTTAATTACATTACCTTACCTTATATTACATTAAATTACCTTACCTTACGTTACATTACATTTCATTACTTTATATTACATTCAGCTACCACAGACCCATCTTAAGCGTAACTAATTCAAATAAGTTGATTAAGCAATGTCTTAATCAAACTTATCTCAATTGTAAAGCATGTATAAAGGAAATATTTAGAATAAAGCCAATATATAAACTTCCTTTCCGTATAGACGTATTTACGTCTAATTCTCCGGAACCGTGGTTCCACCATCACTTATTTTATTAATGTTATTTCTGTCCTTACCGATAAATTCGCCTTCTAAACTACGAGGGCCTACCGAAAGTAACGAGCACATTTTGTTTACAGTCAAACGAAGATATACACACAAAAACAAATGTTCAGTAAAATATAGGCATATCTGATTACTTTTATACAAAACATTCATCCCTATCTAAACATTTCTGCCAGCGGTGCAAAATCTTAAAGATGTATTGGCCGCAAAACTCCGTTCCAGCTCCTCGCAACCAGCTTCACACGGCTTCCTGGACTTCCTCGTCAGTCTCGTAGTGGTAACAACTCGGGTGTTCTTTCAAGACCCCGAACAAGTGGCAGTCTGAGGGGACCAAATCCGGACTGTGGGGTGGGTGAGAGATGAGTTACCAGGCGTTCCTTTAAAATTTCTGTAAGATCAGACGTACAAAGTCAGAGGGCTCGTAATCTTTCCGATATCCCTAAAGCGACCCCTACACGGTCAATATTATTGTGCAATATTCAGTTTTGTACAATAATATTGATCGTCTATGTTACGAATTGAAAGGTTGTGCAATATATTGTGTCAATCAAAAATGGTTTGATATTTATTGCAC